CCAAACTCAATACATGCATAGAAGCTGAAGTTTTGGGTCAGTTCAGAAGCAATACCGGAAACACACAAAACCAACTTAAGGCAGAGGTGCTGCGCATGGCAGTTGTTCTTGAACCCTTCTGGCTTGGGATCCCGAACAACCCTCAGAAGGCAACCAGTAAAGACAGTAAACACCTACAGCCACCCAGTAGACCAAAGTTGACCAGTTGAGAACACCACACGTGCTTCCAATGTCCAGAGCAAGGAGGACTTCAAGCTTCAAATAGTCTCATTGAGATTCTGTAGTCCTTCTGTTTCATCCAGGAGTTGGACATCGTCAACAAAAAACTGCTCAGCAAGCCGGCGCCCCACTTCCGCTTGCCCTAGGCCTGTACATGAACGACACCTCATTAGATCTCATTATCAAACACAGAAGGCTAGGGTTTCAGGGTTACTATTGTACCTTATTTGGGTTGAGAGCATGTAACCCCTTCATGTGATTGTCCGAGAGGGCTCGCATGCTGACCCAGGAAATGCAGCTGGCATCCAAAACCTCCCGATGCATCAGCCAAGCAGCTCATCCATCCAGGTCCAGCAAGCCTGGATACGCCCTGGCCTGGGAAACACTTTCACATTCAAAGAAAGTTGGGTCCAAGGCGGAACTGCATGCGAGCACTTCGCAAGATGCAGTGAGAAGTCACGACAGAACCAGGGATCTTAGACTGCAGTCCTTAAGGCTACTGTAAAGCACCTATATCCCCTGCAGCCACGAAACTTGAACCCTAACAACGTAAGCGCCAAATCACCCTGAAAGTCATCATCTCAGGGATGGAAAGCCACATCCTTAGCCCTCTGCGAAATTCGCTCCACATCTTCAACTGTGTAGGCATTGGCGAGGGCACTCTTCCTGGGACGTCCATTGGGGGTCAGAGGGTAAGACTCACGTAAGCCTTGCAGAAGCATTTAGGACACCCACGACCGCTTCACAAAAAAAAAGAGCTTGCTTTGAACTGCAGTTGTTGGGGTGAAGCGCTGGAGAATTCAGGATCTGGGGTGGGACCTGAATGTAGATGTGCGGGACAGGGGCGAGATACTTGGGGCTTTCGCATTTTGAGATCCTATCCTCCTGACCAGACCATAACACGCACTGCAGGAAGTTCATGCTCATCCAGCCCTGAAATCCTCTTTGGGTGAACACCACGACCATGTCATCGCAAACTGCACGCGGTAGATACATAGGTCTTAAAGTTACACTGGAACTTTGGCTATCTCTTTTGCAAAGATGTCCACGAAAACGGCCCCTAAACCCAAACTGTCAAGCGACTTAACCTGAAACCTTTGATGCGGCTGCCATAAGGGCGTGACGAGTCCACATTCACAACCAGGACTTTCCAATCTGCTTGGCCTGCGACTGTTACGTGGGTCTCCCCACGATGCTGCAGCGGATTTCTGGTTTGGTCAAAGCTTCAGAAGTTTGTATTCCGGGTTCAGAGTTTGGGTCCGGGGCTGGCCGTGCAATCCCAAACATTCAGGGACAGGGAACACGCATGCATAATTATGATTGTTTAGTCAGCTCCTGGGCCTTCCAACTGTCTGAATAATTGAAGAGGATGCAATGACCCTACGTTTGGCACATTTTGAGAACAAAGACAGCCATCAACAGCACCTTTGACAGCTACGCTTCAACAACTCAGCCTGATTCGCTTCGTGCAAAAGCTGAAAAACATCCTGAAATCCCTGGACCATCAACCCATCCAAGGCCTTCAGCCCAAACCTAAGATGGTTTGTCCCTGCATAATCCCTTATAATCCCTATATCACCATAAGCACAGCCTTTAGCCCAAACCCTTACCTTCTGAACCTTCAAAGACGGCCTTCGTCGATAAGGCAAACTGCACCGAGAACTCGGCAACGGACAATTGTGCCAACCTGGCAAGGATACACGGAGTTCCCAAGCAGGGCTTGAGATCAGGTTAGAGATAAAAATCAAGAACTCTTTTGAAGGGGCCTTCTAAGTCCGATATACCTTATTGGCTACTGCTCTTTGAACCACCACATTGGATTTTCGGGGACAAGAGCCCATGGCTTAGAATTTTGGAGCTTATGAGTTTCACATTTTGTGTCTTGAGAATTGGGCATTGGTTTCCAGGATCAAGGGGGTCAAAATTGACGGCCTGATTGGGCGTAAGAAGAAAAACTTCTAGGCAGCTTTCATATGGTCAGTTGTTTCAAACCCTTTTGGATTCGCAAAAAGAAAGTGCAACGACACAACACAGGCCCCCGCCTGTAACAAACACACGTTTGACGGCACAAATCCTTCTGTGGCCTCTGCGTGACTTCATGAAGCAAACACCCTGCTGGCAATACACGATGAACTCCTATCACAACTGCTCTGCTGTACCAGACGGCACACATAGCATAGGCATGCTTACAAGTCGACATGTACCTGCGACTGAACTGGCTTGTGGTCTTGAATATGTGGGATGTTCGTTCGCGAAGGCGGCCTCCGTTGGAGTATCGGCGAGGTCAATCCTCAGATGTGGGCTCTTTACACAGCATATATGTAAGCTAAGACTGGGATTCTGTCAGCCTGTGACATTTTATCAAGAAGCACTTGGAAAACTTCGGTACCTCAGCAAGGCCATATCGGCCGCTGGAACACCTTTTTGTCGTCCGCATAGCTGCAGAGGTCCTAAGAACGATTATCATGTATTCCAACACATCACCCTCAGGCCGAAGAATGGTCTCAGAACAGGCCTGTCAAAAGTAAAACCAAAAGATCCCCCTTTACAAACAAGAAACACATGCCGAAGTCAAACTCTGCATGGAGCCTCATCTCTTGATCCACAAATGACTCAAAAAGTTGTAGATGAACTTTGCCTTACATCGATGTGATCCCTGCAGAGCCCTACAAAGACCAAAATGTCCTTCGTCCGCATACATACCCTGGTTAAACTGTGCCACAATATAAGCGCCAAACTCTTCAAAACTAAACGCTTCACATCACGGCTCAAGAAGTTACGAGCAGCCTGATTTGGGTACTTTCAGATGAGGATTCCTCTACCTCCGACATACCAGCTTCCTGCCATAACGAAGCTCCAGTCCAAAATCTTATCTATTCCTTCGAATCATCTTAGCACATTGGGGATTTCGATGTTGTGATCGTCTGAGTGCCAGACACATCCAGTGGATCATCATCACCAGGGGCCTGGTAGAGGTCATCAGCCTGATCCAGTAGGAATCCAAAAGGACACACGAACACCTCTTTGAAATCACAAAATTTGTGGGTCGTGTGCCCTAACTGAAGGATCCTGGCGAGTTCACGTTGCTTGCAGCCAACATGAGCAGAACACTCTGGGTGTCTACTCGCGCTTGCAACAGGTCCCGTGGCATGCTGCAACCTCTAGAAACACTGCCCATTACAGTACGAAAAGTGTGTAGAGGGTTCTCAGGTGGCGTTGTTTTCACGTTGTTTTGCTCTCGAATCAACATAACACGGCCACTTGTACAAAAGGGCTTCATACCCCTAGGATATCGCTTTCTCAGGACTTCTGAGGCCATAATCTTCAGGACAATCTTCCATCTTCCAGGGGTTGCATGCCCATTCTAAGGGGCTGTAGAGTCATGAGAAGGTGTACAGTAAGATCTTACATCTTCCAGAGGCGCAGACCCGTTTCAAAGGGGCTGTTAGGCCATAATAATAACAAGTAGGATTTTTCATCTGGAAGACCGTTGTCATGCTTCAGGCATGGATGCGATGGTCACCATAATGTTCTCAGGGATGAATATTAACATGAAGGAGAAGGCTGCAAGTGTTGGGTTTGCAACCGCCTGAGAGTCCTGCTTACAGAAACATTGCCTCACACCCTCCAATTTGCAGCACTTCTGAATGGTGTCCAACTGTGCCTAGATGAAGGGTCAGAAGCAAACTACGTGCTTTAAGGCAATGTTTCGGTGGAGTTCTTTGGGGCTTTGGGCTGTTGAGTGTAGGATTTAAGGCTTCCGGTCAAAGGCTCCGGCCTCTAGATTAAAGGTCCATTGTTGGGGCCCTACGAAAACAAGGGTCCAATCGTTTGGGACCTCCCGCTTCTAGATTTGAGGAACGCCTGCCCCTGTTGGAAGGACGCGGAGGCTTACGCTCACGAGCTGCGAACCTGAAGCCTAGACATCTGAAGCCGCAGCAAAATGTATGAAACTCCAAGCGCTGAGACCCAAGACGCTATGCCATGAAACCCTAGAACTCCAAAAAATCTGGAACTTTGAAGCTCAAGTCCTATGTGCCGATGCCTTCTCGGGATCCCGATAGGTTTGTGGAAAGCAACCGTAGTTGAACGGGACCGGCTTCCCTTAGGTTGGCAGCTGCCCTCGGGCAGAGTTTTCAAGCCAGGGTTCCCTGGGAAGGCCGCTCTGTATGCGGCAAACGAGCTGCTTACGGGGGCCTGTGGGGTTCTTGTTGTAGAGACACTTCTGGATGCTCCATTGGACTGAGGGCAGGGTTGCGCCAATCACGCTGGAAGGGAGAAGACGGCAAACATGGCTACGCTGGTCATTCATGGTTTTGTAGTACGGAGGCATCTTCTGCTTTCGTGCCAGGTTTTGGGGGGGAGGGAATGGTTCCGAAAGGTGGAACTAGCCAGGAGGTCCAGTCAAAAGTGCGCTAAGAGAGAACTATAAGGAACTCAGGCTGCAAGCCCTAAGCCCGAGGTCTTGTCTTCCTGCATCTAAGTCTAGGAGTCCTGTGCACAGAGCAGTGTTCCGGTCGCAAGATCAAGTCAAGTTTCTTTTGTCAGGGGAGATGCTAATTTTTCAACATGTTGTCCTCTCCGCCCTGCACGCAACTATCCCAATGACGACTGAATTCCTCTGGAAGTGCAAACCTCAGGAGAGGAGAGAAACCCTGAGCTCCGAACTCGTATCCTTAAAGCCTGAGGCCTTCACCTTACGAAGATGTCTTATCTCTATAGGCCCTAGACCTCATGCTAAATCCCGGAAAATCACCACTATAATCAGAAATATCAAGCTCTGCATGCCAAGGCCAATGCCGAAGGCCGCCAGCTTCTTAGAACCTTTCATATCCTTGAGACGAATTCAATTCTAGGCTTAGGGCTTGTGGTTTTTTTGCATCTTCCGGCAAATGAGAACTTCCAGAAACCAGAAAAATAAGATCCTTGCTCTGCCCAAGAAAGGAGCCCAAAATCCCTGAGTGTCCTGGCATGCGTTGCTGCCCTGCCCTTTGAGAGCATTCATGAGGAACCCTTGGGCGTGGTCCGAAGACAGGGTTCTCGTGAAGCGTTATAAACAGGACCCCTACTTGGAGTTTGATGGGTAGGCGTGGGTGAGCACAAGAAGGAAGACATCTCTCCAACCAAGGTACCAACCAGCTATGACATGGACTATCCAACCCTGGATACACATGAAGCAACCATTACCCTTGATCAAAAACCACTCCTCTTCGATGGCGTTGTTCGGAGCGTCGGGCCTAAGGCTTTCGGGCAATATGAAGCCACACATACAAGGGGACTATTCAGGCAGATAATTTCTTGCCATGTCATACAGGTCCCAGCTGGGGCTGCAAAAGACAGCATCATACGCTCAGTTGCTTTTGATGGTTACCGTAAGCAGGCATCACGGACTCAGTTGAGTAACCTTGCAGGTTTGAGCTGTTCAATTTGAATTTCTTGGTGAGATGGAGAACTGGGTGTGAATGGAGTTTCTCGTCAAGGTATCCTGAACCCCATCCCACTTCACCCTGAAATTGACGCGACTAGACCCTTCACAATCTTTGGGTTCTTGCCCAAGCGTACATGTTTAGCAAGGTTACAAATGCATGGAAGCTTACCGAGGGTGGAATCAGAGACGACATAACTCATGGACTGTGGGGACAACAACACCCCCGCACAGCTGTTGGAAAAATTGCAGAAAAACCTCTCCTTGATTGTGGAACTTCTCACAAAAAACCTGCTGCTTGTGCACCAACATCAGCACGATTGTTCGATGCACACGATTCAGAAAGACACACATCTACAAAGCCCACATCCAAGCAACTCTTGCTTCAGGAGTTACTAAAGGTGCAAATCGCCAAAACAAACAGGTAGCATGAGGTCAAGAAGCTAACATGAGACTCTCTAGGATACTATTCTAGATCCAGCTGCTTAACAAATGGTTTATGATACATCCTATAGACAATCCTGCAGCTACACTGGCTTCCTCACAAGGACAGCCTGGAACCCCAGTTCCAGCGCAGCTGCCGCCGCCGCTGCCCAAGAAATCCCTTCACCAGTCGTTTTCCCTGGAAAACCTTTACGAAACCTTGTGACCGGCTAGCACCAGAATCCAAATAATACCCATCTGAGCAAAGGGCTGCACTTCAAACTTGCGGAGAGTGCCCATGGGCATTTCGTTGACCTGGAGTAACAAGACTCTTGCATGTGCAACAGGGGGCTGAACAGAGCGCAGGGGGAATGAGGTGACAAATACATTGGGCGGATACAATCAGATGTCAGAGTACCTAAGCCACAAGAAATCGTTGGACTGCTTTTGGATGCTCTTTTCCCCTTGGTGGCGATTTTGACCTCTGAGGCGTGCACGTAACGCAGCATTGCCGTGGGCTCGTCGAGCCATGATTTGACCTCGAAAAGTGCTTAAACGATTTGAGTTTGGGTTACGTTTGCAGCAAGCGTAAGACCTGACCATGTTGTCTCTATGTGCTCCTGCTCACGAAGTGAAGAGAATTGGTCTCTGGAACCGCTTCCGTAAGAACAGGATCCCTCATGAGGAACGAACCACTCCGAACAACGAACACCATTACCTAATCCAAGGCAGAGGCACACAAAGTCCTGATCCCCAAGGCTTGCACCTTTATATGAGCAATCCCCAGCCCTGAAATCATGAGCGCTAGACGAAGCGTAACGTTAAAGCCTTCAGAACCACATTCTCTTTTTGAAGGTTCATGGAAGGTATCAACAGGGTTATGGGCACCACAAACCATCAATCATGGACCTACAGCTGACAGGCCACAAAGAGCAACTGCTCATCAACTAAGAACCCCAAAGCCTATTTTCTCCCGTTTTCTTTGGCACGCGATCGCAAGATCCTCAGGAAGAAGCACACGACAAGCAACTCTTGGCCCCAGGCATACAGGTCAACATCATGCCACAAAGAGGGTGGAGCATCCGCAGGACTATTGGTGTCCTCCAGGGCGAGATTAGGGTTTGGAAGTTCAGGGTTTAGGGTTTGAAGTCTACATAGGGTTTGCAGTTTGGGCCGTCGCTGCCACTCAAATCGGCAAATCGGCTCATCACGTAGGTGCCTCCTTCTTTGTGGTCAATGCTCTTACCAAGGACAACTTCGGGCTCAAACAGAACATATGTCTTGATCCTGCACGGTTTCAGGGGGCTACTTTGCAGGATGTCCATTTGAAGGCATTTTAAGGTTCAAGACTGGAGTTCGCACTGGAGCTGGCAATCGCAAGCCACTAGGACCCCATGGGAAATAAGTACCCTGTAACTGGCAACAAAGAGACATCGAATGCAGAACCGTGGAACCCAGACCTCAAGACTCGGGCTATACTCTGCAGACATCTGAAATCCTGCAATCCAACTTGTAAGTGTCATACCGAAGCCCTACATAGTCCCCCTCGCATGATCTCTCGTCTCTCTCTATGAGCGTCCCACGCATTCCGGCATGGTCCATAGAAAGGCCCTCTCAACAATTCAAAAGCCAGCCTCGTGTGCAGCTGGTGCTTCTGCAGCGGTCCACCTGTGTTCTCTTCACACAGTATTTTCCATTTAATTTTCCATTATCCCTAAATAACCCCTACATAGAAAAGAGGCCCTTCATGTCATGGTCCTCTCAAAACCAGCTCCAGCTAAAGTTGAGATCAAATTCGGTTAGGAGCCGACGGTAATTGTTTTGAGATTTTCTAGAGTTCGCAGATACCTGGGTGTAGGTATGGGAAGATGACATGAAAAAGTTTCGTCTAATACCGGCTTTCAGGGGGTTTCATGCCATGGGGACTGCATTAGGCGGATGTATCTTGGGGTAGCAACAAGTCTTGGGTCAGGAGCTGGGGTCTTGAGTTTATTTTCACCTGCCACGGAAGGACTATGAGATGAACTTAGGAGTTGTTGGTGGATTGTCCTAGGAGTAACAGGAAAGAGTTGAATGTTCCTTTGAGTCTGCGTCCCAGGAAACCTTCAGATTCATGCTGACAAGTATGTGAAAGTGGGCAAGGTACCTCAGCTCTTGATTGTAATTTCTGTGCCCCAGACACCATAACCTCAGACTTCAAATTCAACCTTTTGAGCTGGACACCATGCTTTTGGAATGTTTTGAGAGCCACATGAGACGCACTTCAGAAATCCTATCTTGCCTAGTTGCCGGCACCCGCAGCATTGATAGCGGCTAACGTGCCGGCAAGCTTCGGTCCGGAAAGCTGCCGATCGAAAAGGCCTGGCTGGCTGACCTCAGCGGATAGATGCTGCTCCCACCCTCCTCTTCAATTAGGCACAGGGAAAGCTGGTCTCAGTTGAGGCTATATACACGGTTTAGTGTTGAGGGCTCAGTGAGGATATCATCAAGCGCAATCGCATAAGTTGCAATTAGGACTTGGGGCTCAGGTCTAGGAGTTTGCGAAGAGCTCACACATCAACATATCTATGCATCATGATCCGACAACATCCTTGGCAGCTATAAACTCTTGCTCATCATCACAGAGCTCACCCAAAAACACTGCTACTCAAGACGCCAACAAGAAAACTCTCGAGGCCATCATAATTCTACAAGCAATGTCATAGCTTGTGCATCGCCGTAAAGAACCCCTTTGGAGCAAATGCTTGTTTAGGACCATGGCTTCGGGATGTACTCAAGCTCTGCGTTCTTCACAAGGCCGTCACACTTCCGCACAATTCTCAACAATAAACTCTCGTGAATATTGTGGGGGCTGTGGAGTTAAGTAATCTGAATAGCTCGGCACCTAGCACTTTTGGAAACACACAACGCGCAGTGCTTCTCAGACTCAGCCACTCAGAGACCGTAGCCATAAGGGCAATGTTGAGCAACACCCTTAATGTAGGATTCATGCCCTGCGAAAGGACACAAGTACATACGCTCACCAACAACGCTAAAGACAACGTCCTGCATCAGCAAAAGCTTCACCAAGCCCCTGCCCCTTCTGAGCGCTCCTTGGGTAAACATGTCTCCCAATAAACTAAACCGCAAACCGCCGCTTGTAGAACTACGTGCTAGGCCGAGCTTTTTCGAAAGCTGAGGGGCATCTGCCGACTTCGCGAAGGTAGCACGGCGCTGAGTGGCGCCGCCTTGCAAGGGGTTAGGCTCTTGAGGGCCCATGGTGTGAGACTTACGGTGTAGATTGTATATTCATGGTTTAAGGGTTTCCTGTATTATGCAGAGAAACACGGGATGTCTGCAAAGCTCAGCGGTTCGTGTTTTGTGGTATTTCAGCATAGGGCACGGTATGTTATATGGTGTACACCCAAACATACATAAACCTCAAACCCTAACACTGATGGTCCCAAGCTTGGGCTCGTGCCTCGCCGACCAAGCGCCCATGCATGGCACGGACCTCAGGCAGTACTTTGACAGGCAAGACGCAAGGCTTTGGGTTTGGGGTTGAGGTGTTGGCTGTAAGATTTTAAATATCATCTAGGAACTGTAGCGGGTAAAGACGGGTTAGGTAGCGCTAAGGGAACCCCAGGTTCATGAACAAGATGAAGGCTAAGAGTTCTACGGAAATGTCCAGCGATTCAAAAGCATGATGCAGGAATGCTAGCTGATAGTCCATGATCCTCGTACGTTTTACTTAGCGACTGTATGGAGTGTGGGGGTTTGCACAAAAACTGCCAAGGAGCATACTATCCTTACAGGGATGCTCAAGCCTTTCCTTTGGGGTTGGATTTTGGTGGACTCTTGAGAGGCACATGATATGCTTGGTGAACACTGCATTGAGCTGGTTAGACTGGATTTCGTTAGTTCCAAAAGCGGCAAAGTGTTGTGCCATGGTTGTTGTCTATGATCAGGGACTGATGAGACAACAGTAATAACGAGTATGGGCATGATGGCGTGATGTTTGGAACCAAGAACATGCATGAGAAGGTAGAAGCTAGCAGGTATGGTATAGACAGACAATCGCCAAACTGGTCACCAAGGCAATAATCACCGTCATCGTCATAATGGCAGCAGCCGCAGCAATCGCGATCATAACAGCAACTATAGCAGCAGGAGCCGAAGTGGTAGCAGTTAGGGGAGGGAGGAGGAGCACCTTGCTGTCCTTGTTGGCTTGAATCCGTCTAGCAGATTCTAGCAACTCAGCTGCTTGCGCGGAAAAGAGAGCCGCTTCAAAGCAACGCCCGCCTCAGGCGCATCCCCTACAAGGACCGGGTAAAGGATTCACGCTCAAGGGAAAATTGCAGCTCAGGGTTCCGTCTCTAGGCTTTAGGGGCCAGGCTTGAGCTCCGGGGCAGTACAAGCTGGACGTTTACATTTGGGGGCTGCGTATGACGCATGCCATGCAAACCAAAGCCAAGATGCCCTTCAACACAGCTGCATGATTCGGGATTGTGAGTCATTGATTTCTGGAGACCGAGCCACTACCAGGACCTGTTTGTCTTACTGGGCTGTCGTCAAGGAACTCAAAGTAAGTTACTATAATATAGCGGAACCATGTTTAATTGTATGTATACCCATTATGGTAAACTAAATTCACTTCCTTAGCAGCAACCCAGTTCAACCCGTCTTCATGACGAGGTGGATTGGGGAGTGCTAGACTTGGAGCTTCATGGGCAGGATGGTGATGAGTATTACTACTGTAACTATTATCTTTGTCTGCATTACTGCTAGTACTACTACTACTAGAATTACCAACATTATGGTACCATGAATACCCCGAATAACGGTACAGCTATGGCACCGTGATTGCAATCCCAATCCAACTATCCATGCACCTTGCTGTGGCAAGCAAAATCTGGCTCAGGGTGGTGCAGCTGCTGCCGCGGAAAACGCCTTGCAGCATCGCTGAGAACTCCACATAACTCCCAATTCATTGCCAAAATGCTTTTGTCTAGACTCAATCTCCTGGCCTCTAAACAACCGAACGGCCCACAGCCGATAATTTTGGCACATGACTCTCGCGCGACAAGAAGATCTGCTGAGCCACGGACAGCCACAACGGGCTTGTAGTCAATAAAATTCCAGGCTTCCGTCACTGGTGGGGCCTGTCCCTCCTGCGTACAACCCTGCACAAGGCCGCACAATGACATGGCACCATGACATCAAGAAGGCCAATGTGCTCAAACCAAATGCCCTCTTCCAAGCATCCCTAAAAATCATCCCATTGCGCGACTCAAATGGAGACCGGTGTTGACATGCTGCCAAGGCAGCGCCTGAACCCCAGTGTAAGCTGAACTCCCGAATGCCTCCACGCAGCGCAAAACCCTCGTCAAAAAGCGTCTTGGAAAGAAGATTAGCAAAAGCTAGAAGGTCGAAGCATACGGCTTCTGTGTGGACCTAAAACATCTGAATGCTAGTCTTGATCTCATCACACTACTAAAAACAGAACTTGAAAACTTACAATCCTCGACTCCAACAAAAAGGTCTTGAATGCCGAAACCTCATCCATAAGCCTCAAGATCGAGTACCCTCAGCCCACAACCCGCCAACAGAAGAAAGCAAAAGGAGGAGCAATCAGAAACCCATGAAAGCTCCCAAGCCAAAAAGCTGAATTCATGACAAGACCCTCAGTATCACTGCCTTTGCAAGACACTGCCAGGATATCTCAAAACCGTGCCATCACCAGGCCTCAAAACGAACAAGGCTGGTACTGAGCTGAAAACAGAAACAGCAAGCCGTGAAAAACCAACAGCCTCGCACACTTCCGGAACACAACAGCACTCCTGGCCCAAATGGGGCAGAGCGGTTTTCATCACGGGCACGGAAACCTGCCAATCTGAGTTTAGGGTTCAGAGTGTAGGCTTTTGGGGCTTGCGGTTTAGGTCTTAGGCTTCCGGTTTGGACAGGGTGACAACAACAATCACAACTTTGACTGTCCAGGGACAACACGAGATTGCAAAGGGTTAAAGCTTGGAGCCCTAGCAGGCTAGCACGTTGACCAAAAGGACCGAGAATTCAAACCTGGATTCCTGGCTCCGTTCCCATTGGTAACTAAGACAAGGAGGCTGCTGCTTCTGCTGACAGTCCATAATGTGTACATATGTACATATACACATATATATGGGTGGTTGTCAAAATTGTGGTCCCTTTTGAGGTATCCTAAATATTAGGGGCCGTATTATAATAGGGACCCAAAAAAGGACCATAATTTTGACAACCACCCATATAGATACATACATATGCAGTCTACGTGTGTCTACATGTCTGTAGGTGTGTGCATCTATACACAGTAAGTACATGTACGCGCCATTTCGTTGCCCACATTCATGCAGTCATGTACCCTTATCACTCAGGCTTGAGCAAACAACAACATGAACCGGAGGAACCCTGAGATGAGGTAGGAGCGCCGTTGATCAGAATACTGAAGTCCACCCCGAAAGAATTGGAGCCCTGAAGCCCCACGCCCTGACCCTATCGACCCCAAAACCCAAAACCCTAAAACCCCAAAAACCTAAAACCCCAAAACCCTAAAACCCTAAAACCCTAAACCCTAAAACCCTAAAACCCTAAACCCCTCAAACCCTGACATCCTAAAGTGTTTGTCTGTCCAGGCCAGGCCCACGAAACATGAAGAGATGAGCTGTCGAGCTGCCAGGAGGGCGGCGACGACTGCAAGTCCCTTACACAATAGAGGCTTAGGGTTTCGCGTTTAGGGTTTAGGGTGGGAGCTGGGTGGGGAGAGATCGAGTTTAGAGTTTAGATGAATTTGAATAGGTTGCTCGAAGAAATTTCCAATTGTATATCGGTATAAATTGCAAAAGAAATCTAGAATCAGAATGAAAAAGAAAACACAACATGAAATGGACATATGTTGGTTTACAACTTATACCGTAGGGATTCTGGGGATGAATTGGGGGTTTGGGGTTAGGACCGCGGATGGCCGTAGAGTCTGGCAGCTTTTCGGTGTGGAGTTGAGGGCCTAGATCCGGGTGTGCATGATTAGGACCTTGCAGGTGCAGCTCTTGAAAAAAGCGAGGGGGCTAGAAGCCACTTGTAGCTGCGTATGAGCCTCTATGTCAGGCAAGGGGCTTGCTTGTAGGCTAAATCTGCTCTTCGAACAGACGGTGCTAAGGATGATGCTTCGAGTGATGACAAAGCTATAGAGCATCAGCTGGTATGAAAATACAACAATAGCCAGTTGGGCTACACTTTGTTCAGTAAGGGCCTGTGGATGGAGATGAGGATGCAGGGACCCAAACTTGCGAATCACCCACACACTTAGGACCGAAAGGGAGTGACATGATAGTCTTTTGACCTCTAACCACCTCTACTGAGGGGCTTTTTTAGCTACACGACCCTCTTCAGATCGGCTCCTGAAGACAGACTGCTCTGTGGCAAAAGCTGCTTGGCTACTTAGGGGTAAAACTTGTGACATGGTACCGGGGGGGGCCTTAACAAATGTGACCCCTACGCCCTTAACCTCAAAATCTGACAATCTGCACTGTGAGACCCCGGCAGTGGCTAGGCTGCTGCTGCGGCGAAGCTTAAAGCATTTGGCTGTGTGAGTCCAGTTGACTCCTGCAGTCAACCCCAAGCCTACACGTCGAAGGGTTAAACGGAACACCAACAAGATAACCCAACAATGCGTAAGACGTCGAAAACAAGAGTCTTGAGAAACTTCCATGTTGGGCGGTTGTTTGTGGCTCTGTTGAGCACGGCAGCAAAGTAGCATTTCTGCCTATGAGGGGTACTTTTGAAGCTTCCCGGAATCAGACTGAGACAACCTACAATAAGAGCTATTGTGATCATGGTCCTTCAGCTATCATAGGCAATCCCAAACCTGCGTTGCAAGCTACGGAGAGCCTCATGATAGAAGCGCTCAAGTCAAGGATCACCTTCCTTACTGTACATAGCCCTTGGAACGCAGGGGGTACCCGAATACCGACATAAGAATGAACATTCAAACTTCATAAGAGGATCCGTGTAGCCCCTACTTGGGTACACCCGCAACCATCCGATGCCCTGGCCTTTTGGCGGAGCCCCCCAAACCCTAGCCACAAGCCCCAAGCCCAACATCCCAAGGGTCCTTCCCACATTGTTCGTTTGATAACTTTTTGCGGCTTTTGGAAGTCGAGCTCCTTGCTCTTTCCTAAGCGAACAACAACAGCTCTGCAAGCTTGGGCAGGTCTTCAGGGTTCATGGTCAAGATTTAAGGGTCAGGATTGGGTTACAAGCCAATGATGGCGGGAATCTTGGTGCCACACCACGACATAGCGGACAGCCGTGCCAAAGAGAACTGTTTCTGAACGCAACTTACAATCTCAATATAGTACCGCTGAAGCCATTCCCCAGTGCGTGGTTCAGACTAGGAGCTACCACCCAAAACCACAAGCAGAAAAAAACTAGTTTGCCCTCGAGTTGTGCGGGCCCCAAACGCAATTGCGTGGTATTCGCTCAACATAGTCGTAGCGGTCCCCTGAATGTCAGAATTCCAAGCGTGCCATACCCACGTGACATACCAAAACAAATCACAGAAGGCAGCCCGCGAATCTTTGAACGCTGTGCGACATGACTCTGTCACCCTAGCCGCATGGGATGCAGCCGACACTATCCTACACCTCACATAGGTGGGTACGTCTCTGCTCCATTTGAAGCCTTGAGTCGTACAGAAATCTGAGGCCCACACCAAGCTGCTCCTGCGAGTCGTCTCGCTCCTGTGGAAACAAGGGGTCGCACTTTGAAAGTTCAGATTAAAGCAGAGATTAGGGGTTGGGACTAAGGGAAGGTTTGAGGCTTTGGGTTGAGGCTTTCAATCTAAGGGTTTCTGTTTTGGGCTTCGTACTTGCCAAGGTTTTTCTCGTATTCCCCTATTGAGGAAGACATCACAACCTGGGACCACCCAAAATGTGGTAGTCAGCGCTCAAGGCCAAGGTTGGGTGTTCCAGACTTAAATCTAGGCCTAGGCTTCAGAATCAATTTGTGGCTTCCTTTTCAGGATTTGGGGTTTCAGTTTTTGATTTAGCGGGAGGCTTGCTGGGAGCAGCACTCCCCTCACTCAGTCTCCCTAAACCACAAGGTAGGTACGTGATGCCCGTCCTTCTTTGAGTTGTTACCCTCAATGACTGTCCAGGCCTCAGTGCCACGACATTACAAAGCATGCGCTGGCACTGAGCAGTCTTCAAAAAAGCAACGCCTCAAGGGCAAGAAGCTGAAACCTGCAGACCCAAATACTGAGAAAAATTGTAATCTCTATATATCTAGGTTTCTATGCACATGTAGAAACATGCATATGTATATATGCTACTTATGACAAATACATGTACATATTACATATATGCACATCTCTCTCACGTATCTCACACCCTCACACATCGGGCTAGCAGCGGCTAGCAATTCTAGGCTTCCGGCCATCAGAGCAGCAGGGTACAGGACTCAGAGGAACACAAGATCGATTAAGGACTTGGGCTTGGGTTTGGGTTTGAGTCGGGGGCTTTTAGCTTACGCTATTCGAAGTGCAAAGCTTGGATTTTCAGGGCTTCTGGCCTTGCGTGGTCGCTCGTGGGCTTGTTATGTTGCTACGTCGCACTCTCCGAAATCAAAACCTTGGAAACAACAAACCCTATAAACACTCTGAGCCCTGCCCTACTGTTCCACGGGACGGAATAAAAGCATATGGGAAATTTCACTCTATTTCAATAGCACCACAAGCCTGACGGCAAGCTCAAACTTCCCACCAACATTGACAATCGAGAGAACGTTGCAGCTCACCAGCAAAACATCGTGGCTTTACACGGAGAAGACACAATGTCTTGATCTTGATCTTGGGAGAGTCAAGACATACTAATGTGTATACAGATATGTGATGATATGTGCATACTGTACATTCCGGACGCACTTTAGAATACACCATACCAGCCCTAGAGACCTAAAACATCAAGTATTAGGGGCATCCCAGGTGGTGCACGGCTTCTTCTTCAATGCGCAGTACCATGTCTTGAACAGACAGACCACTGCTCCCTTTTCGCAGGGACCCTGCCTAGCAGCATGCCAGCAATCGGGAAGGCGTAGACCTCCACAAAACACGAAGAGAGGTTTAACAACTGCGGATACTTACAATTTGGGACGCATATTGCAACCTCAGACATCAAGACAGCTTAACAAAGACGTTCGAGAAACCGTCACACAGTTGGAGGACTTTGCGTCACGCAGTTTGAGCATAGGAAGCTGCTCTAATGGGCATGCAAAACCCCGCTGCTGAAACGCAGCTGCATCCTCATCCTGCTGCAGCCAGCCTTCGCAACTGCAACATACTCGTGGAAAACCTGGATGGGCAGGATTGGATGGTCGTACGGGTCCAGCAACCATGGGTCAATGCAAGGATCTCCATAGGGCTAGAGTGTTTTCAGGAGTTGTCTGTAGAGAGGAACTAGCCCCCGCTTCAAACCTAAGCACCGCGTAGGAGTAGGCCCTGCAGTGGTAAGCACACATGCCCACCAAACACCCCAACTCCCAACTCAAAACCCCACAACCAGAAATGTCACAAAGAAGTAAGGTGCACTCGATAATGCACGTTCACAGCGCGGCCTTTTCCATTGATGCCTCACCGTGACAAACTCAAACCCCTGATCCTGAACAAAGCTTAGATACGAACCACAGAACATTGAAGAAAAATGAAGAAAATAGCCCAGAACCTTCAACACTGAAACCACAAACAACTGAAGAGCAGACCTCCATGTTCCTAGCTGCTTGTCTGGCCCAAACTCACGAGGCCTCAGAAGTGGCAGCTTAGGGTGCAGGAGTGTTGAGCATCTTGCTTTAAGAGTTGAGGGCTTCAGGCTGTCAACTAAGTGTGCAGAGTAACCATGGCACCCTTTCTCACATGTGCTATCACATGATCGTCTGGTGTTGGAGAAACCAGACTTGCTTTTGATCATCTTTAGGAAGTCAGACTTGCATAAAGACAAGCATCTCCAGTCTTCTCTTTCGTTGTTCAGTCCTTTCCTGCTGAGGATTCTCCGATTCTGAGGATGCGGCCGACAAGCAAGCAGAAGTCAGTCAATGACTTCCCCCCAGAGTAGCACCCCAAGGCTTTTTCAAGCCAGGTGTGCTTGAGCAATCACAAGCATGTTTGGCTGTGCGTGAGCTACTCCGCCACAAAACTGCTCAAAAACCGGAGCATGGCATTGCAGCAAAAGCAGACGGATCATCACAAATGACCCAACAGTAAACTCCGTAGCCATGATTTGCCGAGGGTGCGTCAATCCCTGTTCAGCACAAGGCAGGAAATGCAATGAGGACAGCCAGCTCCAGTGCCTTGTTAGTCATGCCAGACTCGGTCCAATCCCTGCGCGCGCACATTAGCTATCATTAGCTACAGCATCAGCAACCTTCACATGTGTCCAGTGACAGAGATACTATGACCATATTGTGTCGGAGTGAGCGCATGTCCAACCCAATGCTCTCCTGCTAAAGTACCCAGAATTATGCAGGGTTCATGTGGCGGAAGTCTCTCGAGGAGGTTCGCAGTTCATTCGGTGTACCAAGAGAAGTTGCCGTGCCCAAGAGCTTGAACCCTTGAACCCCAAAGTGCTGCACCTACCACCTGAAATCCTGAATGTCGAAACTCAAAGCACCTCCAGCCCGAATCCCAACCCTGAGACCTAAGCCCAGAACCCTCAACCTCAAAACCTGCACCAGAACCAAACACGAATTTCAGGGTCCCACGGCCATGACGAGAACACAGTGGTTGTCAAAATTACGGCAGATTCGGGGCACTCAAGAAGAGAACTATCTGCAGCCATGTTTTTGAAATATTTTTTCCACGATAAAAAGCTCTTTAGGCTGAAGGACATGAGCTTTGGACCCTTAACTTTTTGAACCATAGGCCCTCAAGCCTACATTACATCCCAAACATCCCCCAGCAATTGCTCAACAAGGATCCGGCCTCTCACCTCACATCCCCTCCCGCCAGCCAAAGCTCGTACTTGAGGCAAAAAGCATCGAGCCGAAACATGTTTGGGAAGCGGTCTGGAGCTTCAGGATTCCTTGCGATGCCTCAGTCCATTTCCGATCACATGCAATATTTCCGAAAGGACAAGACTGAGGGTTCTTGCGATAAGAAGTAGCTGCAGCGGTGGTGTGCCCGTTGCAGAAAAGGTATCTGATGGTGATCCTTGGTGCGCTCGTGCACGCATGCTCTTTTTGCAGCCAGGTCGCCAAGATTGAGAGTTGCCATGTCCTACGGAAGTAAGTGTTCCAGGAGCACCCATCTGCGAGGTCCGTACGCCGCAAAGCCAACAGGAGTTAGACCGAATCATTGCTATGTTTTCTCGCTTGTCGTGCGGTTTTTAACTATACTTGTCCTTTAGACGAGAACTGAGAACCTGGTGCGAACACGGAGAAATCAGAGCCAGGTTTTTGGTGCACGTGCACGGCTCAGACTGGCCAAAAAAGGGAAGCGTTGAGGGATTTTTGGGCTCTTGGTGTAGGATCCAAGGTTTCGGATAGAGATTTCTGGTGTAGTTACATGTCTTCCAGGAGCGGATGAGTCTCGGGACAAACAGTATATTTGGAATATGTAACGATGAAAAGCCAACTCTGGGCAACCCCTTGACAATTCTACGCGACTTACTACTTCACATCCCCTTAGGCCAGACTGGTCATCGTCCGAGGTTTGAAAGTCCGAATCTAGGGTTAGGTCTTATGGCATATGGGCTAGGGTTATATCAAAACAAATCTGTCGCACACATCGTGAGCTTGTTCCAGGTCATCATACAGCATGGACGGCATATGTAGGGAATTATTGTTAAGAGGTTGGGGCTTTCACATGACAGGTTGTCAAAATCATCCCTTGCTGGGTCCCTAAGTGAGATGACAGTCTGAGACGCGCGACTGCATGGCCCAAAGCCTCTGAAAGCATGAGCGATCCCGAATCGGGCCGGGCCTGGCACGCCGGCCCGATTTGCAGGATCGCCACGACAGGCTGAAGGATCTAGGGTTTAGCACTTCGTGGCTTGAGATGTTTAGCGTCTGGTATTGGCGATTGGGGTCTGGGTGGCAGACTGGAAGAACAAAGCTACGCATCCCCATCTGAGGCTGAAGTGAGTATCCGTACGATGAAACTACTTCGAGCGTGATGCAGTCTACGTCTATCATCTTCTATGCCCAATTCAGGGCTTATCCTTCTGACAACACACAATGCATATAAATGGTTGGGATGCAGCAAGCCGAATTTCTCGTGCAGTTGCACCAGATATTTTGGTGCAATGAGGGTTCACGCCTAAGACGCACCCTCCGTGGCGCTTCCCACTTTCAAGAATTACCTGTGTCCTGTGTGTTCCGGAGAAACTGATATCGTTGCCGCAACTGCCTACCCCCGCCTTCCTTAGGCTTGATTCCTGTGTTTCATCACAACTGTATTTGGCATGGGATACTACGGGCGCGGCAACGTACCACTCCATGATTCGGCACATGGCAAGCGACACGGCAGCAAGTGAGACTTTTAGTACTCCTCGGCAGGCTTCTTGAAGCTGTCTGGGAGGCTATGCGCTCGCCTACTTTCCCATCAGATGGAGGATTCAAATAAGTTGAGCTTCCTTCTTGGGCGCACCCAATGATTTACGGGCAGCGTTTATGGCTCTCAAGTACAGTTGAATTTGCGCATGACAACGGTCGCCTGGCAGAGTGTACTCGTGGAGGGTACCGACACTCCCCTTCGAACTTCAAAGGTGTTGTCATTCTTGCAGCAGGGTTGGAAAGCTGTAAGGGCATCCAACATCACTGCTGAAGGCATGAGACTGTGCAGGCACACACTTGCTCAGGAAGATAGATTGCGGTTTAGGCATGTCGCTGTAACTTCTTTGAAGCAGCTTGCCTGCATGGACTCTCACCCCAACTTGCCCGAAGGGCGTTTGACAGCCAGCCCTGGCTTAGGGATTGTAGGAAGCCTTGTAGATGAGACCTATCAGCTTAAGGCTCTAAGCCTTTGGAAGGAGCTGTCTTTGATTTTTTTGAGGTGGCCAAATCACGGCTTCCCGTCCGGGCTGCGCGGCTGATGCGGCTGCGCACTCGAATGCGCACTGGAAGCTCAAAACCTTCCCCAGGCTCCCATGGACGCCTATGGTCAGAACTCAGAGCTCCTTCATCGAAGGCCCAGCGGATTCCAACAAATTCCGCCATGAAGCTGCATGTGAGCTAGCAACACTGGAATACCCTGGAACGAATAGTCAACCAGATTGTAGCTTGAGATTTAGTCTTCATGTGAATTTCTCCTCATGTGCAGGCTTGTGAACTTTAAAGCGCTGGGCGATAAAACTGGGTCGCTGAAAACTCCAAGCAGGTATGCAGTTGCTCGTGAATGGGCACCTGGCTAAAACTAATCTCATTCCTGCTCACCTCACTTACTCCACCTCCTCCTGTTGGAAATCCTCTACGAATATCCAACGCACATTTTGGAAGCTCCTATAGTAAAATAACGTGCTTGAGTCAGAACCGCTGGGCAAGCTCCATCGCGGAGCATCTTGGGGGAGATTACAGGCCAACCCCTCCAAAGGCAGCTGCTCAGGGTCTACATGGTCTACCATGCTCAGGACCAGAAGTTCACGTGTCTTGGTGGGAGTTCATAGCTTTTGAAGATAGTAATGTGGAAAGTGTATTTGGGGAAGGGTTGTGTCGCCGATGTTTAGGGTTTAGGGTTGCAAAGTAAAGGCTTTCTGGAATGAAAGGACACAGCATTTGAGCTCCGGGGCTGTGGGATTAGGATGTTTGCGTCCCCAAAAGGGATCAGTCCATGCCACAAACAGGACTATCATGGTATTGATGTTAGCAGTCGTTTAACCTCCTTTGTCAAAAAAATGCTGTTTAGCGTGCAGGGGTCTATGGGCTTACGCTTCAGGCTACACAGTTCCAGGGCTTTGGGTGTAACCACTCGCGTTAGTAGTTCAAGGCGGGACTGCTAGGTCTGACAAACCAAGAAGAAGAGTCAAGGAGGTTTGCTCTTCAGGGATCTAGATATTAAAAAGTCAAGGCCGCTGAATCGGGAGAAACTTGACACTGGGGGTTCTCAGGCATGCGTCCTTGTCTGATCTTGCTAGGGGTCATGTTCAGAATCAGGAGGAGCGCCCTGTAATCTCTGATGTGTTGGTGACGAGTCTCTAAAGATCCCGCATGTCGGCGAAAGCAGTATTGCCCCGAGTCCCCGCTGCGCACTTGGACACTCGCATAAAACTTGTATCCATCTTCACGCATGTTCATACATTACTTCCTGTTGTGATGAAGGCATTGGACTCCATCCATGACCATGACTTGTCACCTGGCTTGACAATGCGTCCTAGGTCTGTCTGGTACGTCTCTACCTATATCTATATATATATATGCTTGTATATTCCATTTTCAGAGATCAGCGTGGCGGCTGGGAGGAAACAGAGGCCTTATCAGGCAAGGCCTGATCCTAGGAATTTAGGCGACAGGCAGCTGGGAGCCCGAAGCGCCTCCAGAAATCAGAAACGTTACAAGAGTAGGGTCAGCCTTAGCAGCTGAATACATACCCCTCTCATGGGTCTTCTCCCGCAAACATTGGTTCTCAAAACAAGGTACCCCAAGCCCCCAAGTGACTCTGGGTAAAGAGAGCTCTAGCCTTCTCAGGGGTGTTGTTTCGATAACGACACGTGGTAGAGCTCCTAAGCCAATTGAGAGGCGCGTGAGGCTCACAGTCTTCGGCCCATTGCCTGAGGTTC